CTGGGATGAGTTAGAGGGAGGAGTCAGGATGAATATGATTAAAATTACACTGTGTGAAATTCCCAAAGAACTAAGAAAAGTGCTATATATATATATATTCTCTTTTTAAGGTAAGGTGTGATGTGCATTTGACTAGACGTGACTCTTCAGGAAAACTTCTTGAATGTGCTGTATCTGTTTTCTCATCTAAAAATTAGCGATGATAAGTATCCATATCCTCCATGAGACCTAAGGCTTAGCTCAGGGACAGCAGTGGGGCAGTCCTTGTGCCCAAGAGGTGCCCAAGAAGTATAAGCTGCTCTTACTTTGTAGTTTGAGTGTGAGACGGAATAAGCCTGAAGTGGCAGCTCTGTGCCTTGTGAGATGTGACCATCTGGGTTGTTAATCTCAGCCAGCCTCAGTTTCCTGACTGTTGAACATAATGTTCATTATGCTGTCTCAGACCTGGTGGGACTGAATGACAGACAGTGTGTGGAGTGGGGGGTGCAATTTCTGGCCTGTAGCAAGCTCTCAAGGAGTCTTTCTGCTATACTTTGTGGGCTTCTCACTATCCTCGGAGATCGGCTTTTGGCTCTTATCTCTCCTACCTCTTGCTGTCCCATCCTACTCACAGTGATGGATGCCTGAGAAAACAGGACCAGGGAACACCTAGAGCTCATGGATCCCCTTTCTTTTCTGCAAGCTTGCAAGCTTGCTTCAAATGCTCTCTCTCTCTCTCTCTCTCTCTCTCTCTCTCTCTCTCTCTCTCTCTCTGTGTGTGTGTGTGTGTGTGTGTGTGTGTGTGTGTGTGAGAGAGAGAGAGAGAGAGAGAGAGAGAGAGAGAGAGAGAGAGAGAGAGAGAGAGAGAGAGGCAGAGGGGGGGAGGTGCGTACACATGGAGAGGCCAGAGAAGACATCAGCTGTCCTGCTCAATCACTCTGTGCCTTCTTTCCTTGAGAGAGAGTCTCTTACTGAACCTCGAGCTATGCTGGCAGCCAGAAATCCCAGCTATCCTCCTGTCTCTGTCACCTACAGCACTAGGGGGTACATATACATGTGCAGACATACACAGCTAGTTGGGTAAGGGCTGGAACTTGAACTCTGATCCTCATGCTTGCTCAGTAAATGCTCTTACCTCCCGAGCCACCTCCCTAGGTCCCTGAAACCCCGTGGTTTTGTTTTTTTAATATTCATTTATTTTTTACTTCATGTGTATGAACATCAGGTTGCATATATGTATGTGCACCATATGCATGCCTGGTCTTAGGGAGGCCAGAAGAGGGATTGAATGGAATCCTCTAGAACTAGAGCTGCAAATAGTTGTGAGCCACCATGTGGGTGTGGATATCGAACTTGGGTCCTCTGCAAGGGCAAACGCTCTTACCCACTGAGCCACTTTCCTAGGCTCCCACAGTCTTATTTTAAATGTCACCATCACCTTACTGGTGTGAAGCTCTTGGTATTTTTCAAGGTGATTTTGTGTCTTTGACACAAGTTGGTCTCACAGCAATCCTATAAGGTAAAGTATATATAACTTTGTTTGACTCCCAAGTGATCAGAAAAACAGTGACTCAGGGATTCAGTGACTGGCCCAAAGTCATCCAGTAAGCTAACTGCGCGTACCCAGGTCCAAATCCATGTCCCCACTCAGGATCCAGGAAGAATAGTAGACCCTTCTTCATTGCTGTATCAAAGACTTCATTATATATGATCTCATCTGTGGGGTAGCTTTTACCATCATCCCCCTGCTGTAGACCCAGAGAGGCTAAGTGACTCGTTCAGAAATGCCCAGCAGATAAATGATGAAAATGATCTTTCGATTCTATAGTCAGTTCTATGGTCTTTCTAACTCTTTTTTTTTAAGAGGCTGGTTGACCATAAAACAAATAAAATACCAGATAAAACAAGAGCCAGCACCTCGGCTCTGACAGTCAGGCCACACCGTAACTTTTTCTGACAACAGCAAGGATCAAGATACCCAACAGGAAGCATGGAAATCTACCAGGCAGCTCCCCACTGAAGGGTGTAATTAGAGAGCTGACAGGCTGTACACGCGACACCATTAATGGGTCCACCTGTGAGGGAGACCTGGCGAGCACAGGTAATTTGGACAGAGTATAGCACTCAAAGGAGACTCAGGTTGCAGGTGCCCAGCCTGACCCTGGGGCCAGCAGCCTCCCCAGGGAACAGGAGGAAGGGCCTGGCCTGGACTCTGCCAGTGACACAAAGCTGTTTGCCGTGGTGCTCACTGCACATTATGCTAAAAGTGTGACAGATTTTTGAGGCAGTCTGAGCGGGAGCCATGGAAACAAGTTAGGGGAGAGGAAAAGCTGATTGCGGCTGCTCCTGTTAGAGAGACAGGGGTGAGTTGCAGGGATGTATGCTCCCTCCTCCACCAGCCTTGGCTTCTGCTTTCATCCCCAACTCCCCCAGCTGCCTGTCTTCATGACCCCTCCCAAGTGCACCAACAAAGGGAGGTGGTAAACATGGGGACAGTGATAGATAAATCGTGGGGTCTTGCAGTCTCCTTTTCTGGGCTCTAACACAGAGCCTGGGCATTGTAAGAACCACCCTTTGCTAAATACTTACCATGTGCTAGGCCCCGTGTGAGCGGTCTCCCTGGCACTGTCTCCAGCTCTCTCACCAGCTCTGAGTACCCTCCTCATGTGTGTGAGAACCCGGGGGCCTGAGGGACTAAGCAACTTGATCAGGCATGCAACTACTGTTGGGGCGTATGGGAATCTAGACCTGCCTTGAAGAGCCATGCTTCATTCACTGCATCACACACACCTCCATGACCCTGCAATCCTCTACAAACGTTGACAAACCTAGTTTTCAACCCAGTCGTTTAGGGCAGAAAAACAGATCCGTGAACTCCTTGTTTCAATATGCACAAGGTCAAGGGGTTTTTCCACAGTGATGTCCTCTCTTCTGAAGAGGGTGGAGACAGCATCCACTCTCCACTTTGAAGCTGCCCTGAGACAGAAGGAATTGATGAGTTACCTTGCAATCAAAGTCCCTTCCTCTCAGAGTCTCTCCCAGCCCCCCTTTTCTCTACGCTTTAGCCATGGCCATCACCATGGTTTCCAGCCTCTTGAGCAGAAAAATCTGTCTCCTCTTCATGTCAAGAGTGCAGGGGAAGGGTGCAGGGTGTGGGGCTGAGAGAGCAGACCGTGGTCAAGCAGGGAGGGGATGGCATTCTGATAAACAGGGGCTCTGAACAGGGCAATGGCTGCCAAGGGCAGACCTAGCTCCAGATTCAGGCAGCTGCTGGATAGTGAGGGGGAAGGGGGTGGTCCAGGAGCTTGAATCCAACCCAGGAAGACACCGTACAGATGGGAAACCCCAGAGAGGTGCATTCAGTGACCAGTGAGGGACTGAACAAGTAGGACTGTAATGCTTTGTGTAGGAGCACTCTAGGGGGATTAGGGAGATACACTGAGTGGGGGAAGCTTTGAACTATTCTGATTCAACAGAGTCTGGACTTCAAATGATTCTATGTAGGACTGAGTGGAGGTTGCATGGAGTGGTGGTGGTTTGATGAGGAATACATATCCCCTCTAGGCACATGCATTTGAACACTCAGTCCAGGGCTAGTGGCATTCTTTGGGAAGGTTGTGGAACCTTTAGGAGGTGGGGGCCTTGCTAGAGGATGTATGTCATTGGGAGTAGACTTTGAGGTTATAGCCTGGCCTTACTTCCTCTTTTCTCTCTGAATGAAAATGTGGTGAGGCAATTTCCTTGACTTCTATGCCCACCTCACACCCCTGATGCCATCATGCCTTGTCTGCCATGACGGACTGGAAACCAAAGTAAACCCTTTCTCTCCAAAGCTGCAGAAAAGCAACCAATCCAGGCTTCCAGGGTAGGAGACAAAGATCTCCAGACCAATGTTCCCTAGGGGATGGGATGTGCCTTGGGTCCCATGAAGCAGAATAAAGGACCAAAATCATTTTAGGTTATATTATCATGTTAGGTTAATATATCATGTTACTTATATTTCTCTGGGAGTGAGGTTGGAAAGAATTCATGAAGAATCCCTCATTTGTAAACTCAAGTTAAAACATGCCCCCGGGAGTTAGGGCAGATGAGAGAACTCAGAGAGTGTTGTGACTATCTAGGACTGATGTGCGGGATCTCTTCTCTCTTATGAGGAGAGGCAAAGCTCTCTACCTAAGCCTTGGCCAGTGTTAGCGCATGCACACCCCCGTTCCTGTGCCATCGCATGGCTTCGCTCTCCGTTGGGTCCCATTTACACCAGCGCTCTCTAGACAAGCTTTCCCCGTGGTGATATACAGGCTGTCTGTAGAGGCTTACTCCCATCTGGAGAGTAAGACAGACAGACAGTGAGCCAGATAACACCTACAAATGCCAGATTATATTGATGGGAAGTGTTGAGACTTCATGAGACAAGGTATTCCATGAATACATGGCAGGCAGGTATGATCTAACTCCTGGACCACAGATGGTGTTCAGTGATCAACTTATTAGCAAGTCCAATGATACTTGACAGTCATGAGGTAACAGTCTCCCCTGAAAAGGTGCTTCAAGGGACGTTCTTGGGTGCAGATGGACTCAAACAGAATGGTGCATCACGGACTGACGGGAGAACGCATGGCAGACCATTTGATGTGTCTAGACCGCTTGCCTGTGGTCTACCATTCACAAGGCTCCTGTTTTGATTCTGAGAACTACAAAATCAAATCAAAACAAACAAAACTTACAGTGTGCTTGAATTCACAGAACAAAAGCATTTAGGAAGGTCATTTTGGGGGCTCTTTACCCTGAATGCTTTTCTTTACCACATGATTTGCCACTGTCCTTTATTAGAACATTCAAATTGCACTACTTTTTGGTGATGTCTTCCCAAATTCTCCATCGCATCCCAACTGACTCATGTTATAATCAACATTAAGTAGGCTATGCCCACACTGTGGCTCTCACACGTGGGCTGGGGTTTAGTTTTGTGTGTGTTTTCCTTCCTCTCTCAGGAGTGAGGCAAGCAAGGGACTGGGCAGAATACAAAATGATTTATCTCATGCTCTTTATCTTGCTCGCCCCTCCCCTCTGCATAGCCTAGTGTGTGAAGAAGAAAGGGAAGAAACAAAGGAAGAGGAAGGGCAAGAGAGGAAAGTCGGAAGGGAGGATTGGTGAACAGATACAGGGACAGGCACATGGACGGATGATGAGTGGGTTGATGGGGTGGGTGGGTAGACAGGTGGATGGATGGGGGATGGATAGGTGAGTAGGTGGAATAATGATGAGTGGGTGGATGGATGGATGGGTGGACAGATGCCTCTGAAGTTATATGAAGACACAATTTGAGAGGCAGCAAGGTGTCATTGAAGGAGCAGTGGATGAAAACTAAGAAGTCCTGGGTTTGGGATCTGAATGAACCAAGAAGAGTTGTACTACTATCTGCATTTTTCTTGAACCTCTGTTTCCCAATTTTCCAATGGATGAAGTAAGAAAATCGAATTGTTTGATTTCTCAGGCCCCATCACACTCCGTATTTCTATGCATTCTCGTTCTCACAGGGAATGATGTCATTCTCTTAGGTGGAAGTGATGTCCCAGCAGATGTTCACGGGCTCCCAACAGAAGGCTAGCAGCAGCATGGTGCTATAAGTTATACAAAGGTAAGAAGAGGGCATGCCCCTTGCTTTCAGTGGAATTACTGTTTGTTTAGAGAGGTAAGATTGGGCAACCGTCCAGGTCAGGAACAACTGCTTTTACCAGCTTCCTTCACTCTCAGATGCTACGATAAATGCCATTTTGACCCAGTATGCACAGCTACCCCACTTCCTTAAGCAAAGCTCGGGCTTCTTCCAGCTCAGTGCCTCTGTACCAAAGATTCTGCTGTGCTTGGGAGATGTCTCTAACCTCTGAGGACCTGTCCTGGTTGCTTAGTCTATAATCTAAACTGACAACAGACTTTCTGTTTTAAAATAAAGCCCTATCATTTTCATCCTCTGGGCTCCGCTACTCCCCTCCTCTCCCCCTCCCTCCCCCAGCTTCATCATCCCTCTTCCGAAGTTGAAAGTGAGTCTTATTAAGTGGTGCTGTGTCATACACTGTTGAGTTGTGTCAGCTGGAAATGGAACATGATTAAGTATATAAAGGAGCCCCAGCTTTGCCTGCCACAACATTACACAACAGAAGCCTTGGCAACCTGAGAACATCTATTCTCTTTCTTTTCCTTCCTGGTGAGCGCTGTGACCTGACTCTCACTTTGTGGGTCCTGATGCTGGACCCAGCTGCCTTTGGAAGAGGTGTGCCTGGGCAGCACATTGATATAAGAATAGCCCCATTATACGAGTGCCTTGAGATCAAGTGGAGCTCATACAGAAACAGGCCTGCAGGACTTCCCCAGATATTTGCCGAGCCCAGAAGAGTCTAAAGCATCCGGATAGTGTGTTCTTGAGGGCACTAGGGCCAGTGCATTGTCATGGCACCCTCTGGCTGGGCCATCTCTTCCTTTCACTTTCTTTACAGACTCTGCAGGAGCATTCTGTTTTCGGATGAATCCTCCTAAACGGCAGCCCTCACCTGAAATGCTTTAGGGACTGATCTTTCTTGAATGCTGGCTTCACCCCAATTAGCTGGCTTGAGCTCTATAGAAGGCTAAATATTCAGGGTGGAAGGACTTCAAGACAAATACAATGAGAAACATATGAGAATCCACGACATTTCATTGCAGCCTTGCACCACCCACCCCTCTACCTATTTCTAACTTATTATACTTTTCTGTCTCTTGTCTTTGTACTCACTCCTCTGGTCAAATCATGCCCTGTATTGCTGTTGTGGGGTATCTGACACCTCCATCTTACCCTCATTCTAGTGCTGACCCTGGACCTCACACCTTGGTCTATGTCTGGACTTTTATGCACGTGCATGTATACACATGTCCCTGTATGAACAGGTATGTGTGTATGTTTCTATGGAAGGGTGTATGTCTGTGTGCATGTGCAAGTGTGTGTGCACACGTGCATAGGTCAGCATTCAGTCTCAGGCAGTAGTCCACAGGAGCCGTCCACTTGGTTTTTTGAGACCCAGGGCTTCTTAATTAGCCTAGGCCAGCTGGTCAGGCAACGCCTGGGATCCTCTGTCTCTTGCTCTCCAGTACTGGGCCTGTGAACACTCCACTGGACCTGCCTTTTTAACATGGATTCCAGGGCTTGAACTGAGGTTCTCTTGCAAGCACTCTGCTGACTGAATTACCTTGTCCCAGTCTCCTATGTTTGGACTTTTAAGCCTCTAACTTGTTTCAGTCGATAGCACCTCGATTCAGTATACTACCTCTGGATCCAGTAGCTGTCCCATCTTGAAACGAAACTGGGACGTGGCAGTTGGCATAAAACCTCTGTTTCCCATCTTATTCCTTCTCTTTCACGCCACAGCAACCTCTGCTTTGACTGGAGTTCGGGATTTTGAGCCATGGCAAAGGGTCATTTGCATCATGGCTCTCCTCAGGGAGACATGACAGTCTCATCTCTCTGTGACCTTGAGCAGAGGATGCAGTGTCCCCAAGGTCCCCAGTACTTTGCCAAGTCTCAGACGCTGATTTTCAAAATGCCTGCTGGGTACCTCTGCCGCAGATCTGTTCTCGCATCCCCCTTCCTTATTGCTCCCGTTCAATCAACGCCAAGTGCTCCGGCTTCTACTGTCTAAATACCTCTTAAATCAATCACCGCTGAACGGGCTCCGCAGCCACAGCCTTAGCTCAGGCTTGACATCCCTTCTTGGGATTATTGCCTCTCAGCCTCCTAGCCGCTCTCCCTGCCATTGTCTTCCTCGGCTTCTTTCAACACCCACCTACCCCTGCCATAGCTCTCTTTCTCAGAAACACACCTGCTATTGCTTGGAGGGAAAACGTCCAGCGGATCTCCATCATCTTTAGTGTGGTGTACAAGGGCTGTCACAGTTTGGCCCTGTTTTCCTGGAGCTGTCTCCTGGCACACCCCCGTCCCATTCTACACTCCAGCCATGCTGAACTAACGTTACACCCATGTCTTGACAAGCTGTTTTTACCCACGCCTCTATGGCTTCTGTATAGACTTTGCCCTCAAACTGGAACACCCTCCTTGCCTTTCTAGCTCCCTACCTGGGCAACACCCCATTCTCCAGATGAGGCTGAACTGCCCCCCCCTCTTCCATGAAAGGCCCCCTGACTCTGTGGGAGGGGGTCAGCCTCCCTCCCTCTGCTCCTCCCACATTGTTCTCTCCATCGTCCACCCGATGGATTTACTTTGTTCTAATAATTTGCACATATGCGCCTCTCCCTCATCAAATAAAGACCTCCCCGAGTGCAGGAACTCAGCTCCTGGCACAGTGTCTGGCATAGACTGTAGGTGTTCGATAACCATGACTGACTGAATGCAGGACGTTTGCTAGATGAGCTGGAAGGGTTTGTGGGGAAGCATGCCGAGCTGAGAGGAGACAGAAAGGACAGCTTTTGTGTCCCCCACAATGTCCCTACTGGTTATCTAGCACGGATTTTCAGGGACACTCCTAATGTAAAATATTTATTCATGCTTCCTTTTCATGTACACCTATCCACAAGTCAGATAAAATCCTTTGTCTAGCCACGTGTTTCTGGCTCAGCTTTAGATAGCAGCCTAGTGATAACCAATGGAGGATCTGAGCTGCTACAAATCAGTTCTGTGCCTCTCCCCGATGCCTTCTCTTTTGCTTCTTTCTCCCTCTCCAAGCCTCTGTTCCATTTTGCAGAGCTCTGTGGGTGCCCAGGACATTAGGATTGGAGTTTTGAGTGATTCTGGGTTGAAGATATGATCTGAAGCACCACAGCCCATGAGGATCCTTATTGGTTAATCTTAGTGGCTGGGGTGGCCAAGAGAAAAACCCACATGTGCTTTTGTGAGCAGGCTCTCACCTCTGCAGCCCCAGGGGATTTGGCATTTAGCTGGCTTCTATTTGGCTTGCAATGTTTTTGTCCAATTCTAATACATGGGCTTTATGTGTTTAGCTTGTGTACAAAGTTTATGCTCATAAATGGCTTATATTCTGTCCAGAGGGACTCTGAGTCCTGGGCTAGAGCCTGTGAACAGAGTGTAATGTAATTCTGGTGTTTTATTAACCATAATAACCAGAAGTCTCCAGCCACTAATATATCTGCATAGAGGTTTGTCTGGATTTCCAATTATTTTCACTTTCAGCACAAACTGGACAGAAAATTCATTTCAATGCAGTTGAGCCTTTTATTCGTCCTAAGCTTAGATTAAGTCATCTGCCATGTGAACCGTGAGTCCAAGGGCAGTGAGAGTAAGTGCCTGGGCTCCTCTCCCTGGCACCGTGGGAGGTCCCTAGGGCCATGTGGGTTGCATAGGCTTAGAGGAGTTATTTTTCCATTTTCTACCACCTCTGAAACTGACATTCTTAGTACCCAGCTTCTGTCCTAGGAACTGAAAAAAAAATCTCAGAGATTTACTTCCAATGTTTAGGCTCACATTGGTGCCTTTTCTTTTATCTTTAAAGTAGAAAACAAAAGCAAAACAAAACGCTCTGTCTAGTGAGGTGAGGGGTGGGTGAGGGGGGTGGGACTCAGTTGGTAAAGCACTCGCCTTTGTGAGCCTGAGGACTGTGGTGCCCAGCACTCAAGGAAAAGTGCTGGCGTGGTGGTGTATGCTTATACAATCTCAGTACTGGGGAAGTAGAGACAAAAGGATCCTTGCACCTCACTGGCTGGCCAGTCTAGCTTAACTGGTGAGCTCCAGGCCAATGAGAGGCCCCATCTCAAAAAGGGTGAACAGGGTTCCTGAGCACGACATCCTTAGGCCTCTCCATGCAAGTGCACTCATGTGAGTGATCACCTCCACACACAAGAACATGCACACAGATGTGCATTGAAACTATCCACCCCTTCAATCAGTGACAAAATTAATTGACTCTCTGGCTGCAGATGACTTTAGACTATGACTTGGGATGTTATTGATTTTTTTTCTCTTCATAAAGCTTTTCTATAAAGTAAAAACCTGAAGACCTTAAGTTACAAAGTTTGAGTTAAATTATGAGCCTTTTAGCTTTGCATTAGAAGTGGTATCTGGAACCTGATTTGCTAGATCAGACCACATTAGTTGTGTTATGTTATTTTCTAAAAACACATTTCAGAGAAATAACTCCAATCTGCGTTGCATTTTATAGAGCAAAATAATTGAATGGCGGCTGTTTGTAATTTTAGCAATCTCTTAACCTTAATCATATTTAATGGCTTTTCTCTTCAGGCTAACAGGAGAGAGAGAGAAAAAGGTTCCAGCTCCCTTGTATAACGGCGTGACAGTAATGCACCCTGGTCCTCGGCAGCACAGTAAATTCCTCCTCTCTGAATTGTTGGTTCGGGACAATCATTCAGCAGGGAATTACTTTCTCATCTATGAAATAAATGAGATGTTAAACTAGTTTTCTGCTTCCTGTGGTACAAATGTATCAGTGTGTAGCCCCGTGCAGAGAGAAAACAAATGCCCAGGGTCTTGGATGCTGTTGGCCAGAAGGGGAGAGGCACTTGGGGTCCCTGGGGTCAGAGATGGAGAGCAAGGCCTGCAGGGAGAGGCTAGCCAAAAGAAACGAGATGATGGGAGAGAGCGGAAGAGTATGCCAGCCGCTAAAAGTGCCAGGATGCAAGCCCCAGAAGCAAAGGGGTCTCAGCAGGGGCTTGCAGACAGGAAAGGGGTTACTTCAGTTTGTGGGGGGTGCTATGCTATCATCTGTCTCCCATGGAAAGGGACAAGCAAATGGGGCAATTGGTGACAGGTGATACTCCAGGGTATTTCTAGGTTAGAGCCCGAAACATATTCCCTCAGGATTCACTGGTTTTAGATCCTCAGTGGGACGTTGGAAGGAGCACTGTCTCCATGTTAGAGATAGTAAAGCTGAGAGCCAGGCAAGGGGGAGAACCAGAGCTACAGTTGGGGTGAAGATGAGATTGAACTCAAGTGCCCCAGGGAGTGTAGGCTATGAATCCCAGCTTCCTGGTTACAGATTGGGGACTGGAGTTCTGCGACTGGAGTGTCTCCTCTCTTGGCTCAATAGCCTCACCTCCAGACATGTATTCATTCACAGAATTCTCCTAAGGGGAGTGTGTAGCCAGATGCTCTTCTCTATACTTCGTTTGATTGTTTTGCCAAAAACTACATATTCCTTTTAGAAACAGGGCTCAGCTCTCTCAGATAACTTGTCTGTCTCTTTATTGGGAAGAGATAGTAAAGAACTAGGCTTTGTCTCTAGATACTTCATCAGCCACAGGTTGGAAGGCTTTCTGAAATCAAAGCAATATTGTTTCTATTCATCATCTGCTATGTATCTTAAACCATGCAATGTACTCTGAGTACGGGATCTTATTTGATCTTTATATGGTAAACCTACCAGTTACCTATTATGTGTCCATTTTATAGGTAGAAATTTTGAGGCTCAAAAAGGGGTAAAGTGGTACACAAACTGTATTCCTAGAACTCAGGAGGTTGAGGTTGGAAGATCACAACTTCAAGGCCAGCCTAGGACATAATAGCACCTTGTCCCCAAAATGAATAAAGACCTATGGCCCAGAAGCTCCTATGCCTCAGCAGTCACTGGGGCTCTGGATCTAAGTCCAGTAAGAGACCCCAGCTTCCTACAAACCTGTACCTGAGCATCCTAGCCATTTCATGTGGTTGCTGTGACCCCAGAAACAGAAGAAACCAGATGCCCTAAACTCTACTCCTTAAGATTGCCCTCAAGTCATCCATCCCTGTAGGGAGCAAGTAAAGTCCTAGGTGAATATGTATTGGTTGATATGGGAATGACCATGGCAAGAACCCTAGTGCCTCAGCCCCATGGGAGTGGCCAAGTCTTCTCTTGGTGAGTCTCAGAGGGAAGGAAAAGCCTTCAGGTCCAAGTACAAATGTGGATAGTATATGTAGGAAATGTCCACTGTGGCTTTCTCTCCTCAATGTTCACAGCCTGAAGAATGATCACCTACAGAGAGTGTTCCTACCAAGGTTAGCTGAACCTGCATCCTTGTTCAGATGTATACCATAAACCCTACATCTTTGTTCAGCTCTGTGCAATAATTACCCTCCCTGTTCAACTGTATAAATAAACATTCTGAGCTTCTTGGGTATTGTGGCTTTTCCATCCAAGAGCTCAGGCCATCTAATCCAGTGGTTCTCAACCTGTAGGTTGTGACCCCATTGTGTGGGGGGGGTCAAATGACCCTTTCACAGGGGTCATATCAGATATTTACATTACGATTCATAACAGTAGCAAAATTACAGTTATAAAGTAGCAATGAAAATAATTTTATGGTTGGGGGTCACCACAACATGAGGAACTATATTAAAGGGTTGCAGCATTAGGAAGGTTGAGAACTACTGCTCTAATCCAGTTTTTGTTTTGAGGTGTGTGTGTGTGTGTGTGTGTGTGTGTGTGTGTGTGTGTGTGTGTGTGTCCTTTCTTCATTCACTCATTGTCTCTAGTCAGGGCTCCTGGACCCAAGCCATGCAAGGATATGGCACAGCCCACCACTGGAAATCCAGCATAGTGGGCTAAAATCTCATATAAATGACAACCAACAACCAAGTCTCAGATGCCCAGGCCCCAATGAAAAAACACAAGCAATAATAATAATAATAATAATAATAATAATAATAATAATAATATGCTCCCTTCCTCAAATCACCAACCCTAAGAAAATCTTCCCCAAGGAGAACAACTTAGATGACATTCAAGACACATAGCTCAAAAGAGCAGATGCAAACATGGTCAGTGAGTTCAAAGGATTCAGAGAGGACACAAAAAGCTCCCAAAGTTCTCAGGACAAGAGCAACTGAAGCCCAAGAAAACACAAACAAGTGGTCAAAAGAAGGAATGAGGACAAGTCAGGGTATGAAAACTGAACTCAATAGAGACAGAAACACTGAAGAAAACATAAACTGAAATGAAACAAGAAATGAAAACCTCAGCAGGTTTAATGAAAAAGGTCAGGGGGAAGTGCCTCACCAACAGAATGGATCACACAGAAGAGAGAATAGGGCTTGAAGGCAAGTAGAAGAATTGAATCACTTGATCAAAGAAATGATAAACTAAAAATCTCACAAATGAGGTATGCATCAGATTTGGGACATAATGGAAAGGCCAAGTTTTATGAACTGTGGGTCTAGAGGATGAAGAATTCTACACCAAAGACATAACAAATATTTTCAATAAAATCATAAAAGAAAATTCACCAAATTTGGAGACAGAAAGGCCATTCAAGAAAATGAGGACTACAAAACATCAAATAGGTAGGATCAGGAAAGAAGCTCCCCCTGGCATATTATGGTTGAAACACTAAAATCACAGACTAAAGAAAAGCATTGAAAACAGCAAGGGTGAAGGGCCAAGTCATACACATAAAGGCAGACCCATCAGAGCACCAGCTGTCTATTTGATGGAAACTTTTTTTTTCTTCCTTTTTTTTTTTTTTTTTTTTTTTTTTTTGTTTTTTTGAGACAAGGTTTTTCTGTGTAGTTTTGATGCCTGTCCTGGATCTTGCTCTGTAGACCAGGCTGGACTCAAACTCACCGAGATCTGCCTGGCTCTGCCTCCTGAGTGCTGGGATTAAAGGCGTGTGCCACCACCGCCCAGCTTGATGAAAACTTTTAAAGCCTGCAGGCTTGAAAAGATGTATTCCATCTTAAAGATCATGATGGTCAAGCCAGACCATTATGCCCAGCAATAGTGTCTATTACAATTGCAAAAAAAGCAGAAACTTTTCCTGATAAAAACAGACTAAAGGAATATAAGGCCACTAAGCCAGTTCTTCAGAGGATATGGAGGGGAAACTTCAGACACAACCAAGAGGCCACAAAGGAAAGGTAAACAATACCAGAACAGTTCATCAGAAGTTATCTAAAAAGACACCACAAAAGACTAGAAGGACAGGAATTACTTACTACACATTGTTTAATAATAACTCTGAAAATGAAAGGTTTTAATTCTCAAAAAAAAAAAAAACTCACAGGAGACCAGGTTGCATTAAAAAACAGTCTCCATTTTTCTTCTGCCTCTAAGAAATACATCTCACCATCAAAGATAGTCCCACCTTAGAGAAAAAAGACAGACGAGGGTGTAGGTGGAGTTTTTTTGTCAGGACTACTGTCTCCCCAATAACTGACATGGAGATGTATCATTAATTATAAATGCTTGGAGGGTAGCTTAGGCTTGTTACTAACTAGATCTTTAAACTTAAATTATCCCATATTTCTTGTCTACACTCTACCACATGGTACTACCTTCTTTCAGCATGGCATGTTCATCTCTTGTTTCCTCTGCCTCTGGCTGGCAACTCTGTCCTCCTTCTTCCCTTGTGCTCTCTTTTTGTCTGCAAGTCCTGCCTAACCTCTCCCTGCCTAGCTATTGACCATTTAACCCTTTATTAAACCAATAAGAGCAAAAAAATATTCACAGTGTATGAAAAGATCGTTCCACAACACAAGTATAACCAAGCAAATGCAACTAAAAAACAGGCAGACATATTTAGTCTAATACTTGACAAAACAGACTTCAAAAAAAACTAATGAGATATTTATAAAAAAAATTTGCTTTATACTCATTAAAAGAACAGTCCATCAAGGAGGTATTCCCATTCTAAACATCTATGCACCAAACACAGGTGCATCTAATTTCATAAAATAAATACTACTAGTTGTAAAGCAGCAGATTAACCTCAACACAGTAACAGTGGGTGACTTCAGCATCCCATTATTACCAATCCACAGGTCACCTTGACAAAAACTAAACAGAGAAACACTGGAGTTAATTACAGCATAAATCAAATGGACCTAATAGGCATCTACAGAGCATTCTACCCAAACACCAAAGAATACAGATTCTTCCCATAGACCATGGAACTTCCTTCAAAATAGATGACATATTAGGACACAAAGCAAGCTTCAACAATTACATGAAAATTAAAATTACATCTTGTATTCAATTTGACCCTAGTGGAAGAAAACTGTAGATCAACAGCAAAAGAAACTACAGAAATCACACCAAATCATAGAAATTAACAACACATTATTGAACAATGAATGATTCACTGGAGAAATTAAGGATGGAGGAAAGAAATTCCTAGAATTCAATGAAAATGAAAGTATAACATCAAAATGTATGGGGCACAATGAAGTACTATGTGCCTACATTAAAAAAAAATCAGTGAGATCTTAAACAAGTAACTTAATGACACACATTAGGGTCTTGGAAAAACAGGAATAAACCAATCCCAAAAGTAGTAGATGGGGAAAATAATTAAGATCAAGGCAAAAATTAATGAAATACAAACAAGTAATACAAAGTATCAATGAAATGAAAAGTTGATTCTCTGAAAGGATAAACCTTTACCCAAATTAATCAAAAGAAACAGAAAGAGAACACAGTCAATAATATTAGTAATGAAAATAGAGATATTACAATAGACACCAAAAAAA